AGAGCCCGCTGGCCCGTCACCCAGCCCCACGCTGGCAGCCACGACGGCCCTCAGCCCCGCGCAGGGACGCGCCGGAGACATCCGCCCAGGCCCGCTTCCGGGGGGAAGTGACGCACACAACCAGCTTCCGGCTCGGGAGGCGCGGCCCCACCTCCGCGCCGGGCAACTTAAAGGGACCGCGACCCCGAGGAGGCTTGAAGGAGACCGGTGGGGACGGGGCGGGGCGCAGCTTTGCGGAGCCGTAGCGCAGCGCTGGGGAGGGGGGGGGCGGCCGAAAGGGGGGTGGTGGTCGGGCCGCGCAGGCGGAGATGGAGTGGGGCCCGGGCTCAGGCTGGTCACGGGGGTGAGAGGGGACCCGTCGGGGCGGGGGGGGGGGGGGGGGTGGGAGAGGGTCTCGGACCCCGCGCAAGCGCAGGCCTTGACCGTCGGCGTCTCGCTCTCTCCCCGGCAGGGAGGCTGCCGGCGTGGACCGCGGGAAGGCGGGGCTGGGGCTCGGCGGGAGGCCTCCCCCGCCGCCGCCCCGGGATGAGCGCGCCCAGCAGCTGCTGGACGCCGTGGAGCAGCGGCAGCGGCAGCTCCTGGATACCATTGCCGCCTGTGAGGAGATGTTGCGGCAGCTGGGCCGCCGGCGGCCTGAGCCGGCTGGTGGCGGGGTCAGTGCCCGCTCCGGGCTGGGCTGGGGGTGGTGGTGAAGAGTGTCTGCCCACTGGCTAGGCCGGCCGAGAAGCCCTTGCTTCCCAGGGGAGAGGGGGTGGAAAAGCGCCCCGCCGCCGCTCGCTTTACCTTTAACCTCCTGTGATCTGGGCGAGAGGTTTTGAAAAAGTTATCTAAATGCTAGAGGCTACATCCTTGCAGGCCCTGATCCAAGGCCCTTCCTCCCTGGCTTACTTTTCTCCTTTCTGTTCCCACTAGAACGTCTCAGCTAAACCCGGAGCGCCCCCCCAGCCAGTTGCCGCTGCCAGAGGTGGCTTTCCAAAGGATGCTGGCGATGGAGCTGCGGAGCCTTGACCATCCCCTAGCTGGGCATCCTAACTTCTCTCCCTCCCCAGGGCTGGTGGCTGGACTCTGAATAACTCCCTTCAGGAAAAAGGGGCTAGTCTTCACTGGCAGTGGCGGTACTTGGCCGTTAGCCTGGGATGGCAGCTCTGTTGGCAGTTGGGTTCACTCCCACTTCATCCTGGCTGAAGGCAGTGCTGTGCTTTGAAATGTAGCCCACGATTTCCCAGTCTGATTACTCGGATTTGGGCAGACCAGTAGTGCTGGCCAGAGTGGTCTGGTCTGGCCTGCTTTGGGGGTTCCAGGTGGTATTACATGTTCATTTCATGCTTTGGGAGCTCTAAGCCCCCTTAAACACCTTCAGCAGAGCCTTGATTAAAAGGAAACCTGCAGACTCTCCTGGTGACGGGCCTTTCCTTTCTGTCCCCTCTCCAAGACTGATGGCTGGGGAGGGGGGATGGAAAAAGGTCAGCCATGGGCAGGAATGGGAAGTAATGCCACAGATACTACTAGATTTAAATAAGCATTTAATTAAGATTTCATTAGTATTTAATATTGCTTTTTCAATTCCAAAAAGTTAAATTTTCACTTAGCAGATATTTTAAAGTACAATATTAAGTTTATACAAAATGAGCAATTAAGCAAACACCATTATTTCACATTCTTCAAAAATACAAATTTGTATTTATTCTTTTGGGTTTGGAGGTTTCTTCCTTTGGAAGTACTGAACATGTAACATTTTCATATCGCTCAGTGGAAGTTTATTGTTCCCATGTTTTACACTTAAAATAAATTTGATGAGACTTTTACATAATCCAAATAAAATTATTTGGGACTTAAAAAATTGTCACTAAGACCACTGGCCAATGATTGGTGTGTGTCAAAAGAAAAAAAGGCAATTTTCAGGGGCGCCTGCCTTGCCTGGCAGATCTGACCCAGAGCCACAAAAACCTGTTTCCAGCCACCTTCCCCAAATTGGGTCTAGGGGGGAATAGCCACTTTGAATTCTGACCTCCAACTCCACTTTCTTCTAAACACATGAAAGATGTAGGTTGTTGGGAGGCCTGAGAACACAGAGGAAAGGGGCAAGAGAAGCCTCTGACTTGGCACCACTATAAGGGCAAAGATATTGCAGAAAACACCCTGGGTTTTGGTGGGGAAAAGTTTTATGAAAAAAACTCCCATAAGAAAAAGTTGAAACTGCCTTGAGCTGAGAAAGGGACATGCCATTTATCACCCTTTTGGCACAGTGGACATACCATCAAAAGGGCAATGTATGATCTTAAACTTCACTTCCAGTAAAAGAAAAAAGCAAGAAAGGAAAAAAAAACAACCTTGTACTATGTACAACTTGACATAAAAATCCAGTTTAATTTGCATTTTTCAGTGCAGACTCAAGCCCTCTCTTGAGTGTAACAGAATTGCTCAAACAATGCCCATCAATTTCCCTTAATGGCATGAAAAGAAACAAGGGACTCTTCTCCCTTCCCCCCAGCCCCCAAGGGTATGCAAGAATAAATGCCTGGGTATGCCAGGCACCAGTGGCTCACACCTGTAACCCTAAGCTATTCTGGAGGCTGAGATCTGAGGATCACAGTTTGAAGCCACCCCAGGCAGGAAAGTCCATGAGACTCTTACCCCAAATGACTACCAAAAGGCCAGAAGTGGAGCTGAGGCTCAAGTAGTAGAGCGCTAGCCTTGAGTAAAAAAGCTCAGGAACAGCACTTAGGCCCTGAGTTCAAGCCCCAAGTCAGCCACAGAAAAGAAAAAAAACAACAAAATAGAACAAACAGATGGTCCAATCAGAAATATGCACTATTCAGTTTTGTTGTTAACCTCTTTTCCCCAAATGTTAAGGAATGAATAATTTTCCTTCCATCTGTCACAGCAGAATCATGTGCAAATTGTATCCATGAATCTTTCTGCTTTGAAGTATTCTTAAAACATCTGTAGTCTATAGCCTGAGAATTGAAGATGAAACAAGAATAGGTAGGGGAAAGGAAGAAAGTTGATCAAGTAGATTATTAATACCTTTGTTTACTGGATTTTATGAAGGCTGGAAGCCTTTTTATGAACCATCACAGGTAGGACAAGGAAGCATATAGAAATGGCTCCTCCCCCACCCCCTAACATATTTCTGATTGGTGTTATTTAAAAAATTGTAAACTCTTGAGCAGTTTTGGTGCAATCCCATAAATCAATGGTTTCAGTGATGCTGGAGAAATCTTTTAAGATCCAGCTGAATGGATGTAATTATAAATATGGCAGTCTAGGAGGTGCCAGGTGTCTTACCGAGGAACAATCTGTCTTTCAGCCATCACTTTGTAATGGTGAAGTGGGGAAAGATGGCAATAGACCAAGAAGTGGTGAAAAGGGCCTCAACAGTCAGCAGAAAAAAACGCCCACAGCAGTTCTCTCGAGAGCCTGAGGGGGGCGCCCAGGGCACGCAGGGAAGGCTTGCATAGATTGAGCTGAGAATGCCTAACAGTGGTTCGCTCTGTACAGCCTCACAGCACAAGGGCCAATTGAGTGGAAAAAACACGGAAAAACACGGACAGGCCAGGGCCACATGGGACGACTGTCAAGCTACACATATTGCACCAAAACAAGTGCTTTTCTTTTCACACCTCAATTTAACTTTTTATTCTGAGCAAAAAATAAAACTTTGTGGAAAGTATATATATGTATGTATGTATGTATGTATGTATATATGAGTATATACACACACACACAACAGAAATTGCAGCAATTGGGTTAAAGATAAAATAACCTAAAGTGCGTTTTAATTTTATTATTTCTTTAACATACCAATATGAGGTTCTGCAAACATCCCTCTGGACACATTCAGCATTATACAAAGTCTCAGGAAAACCCATCTATCCTCCATTATCCCCACCAGTCTGCTGCCTTGACCCTGAAATGATCACTTTCCATCCATTGACCCTTCTGGAAGCGATGAGGAGAAAGTTGCCCCTTCCTGTCTTCCCCAGAGAGGTCTTCCCATCTTAAAGCCTCTCATGACACTACTGTCACCAAATTAGTGGTGCTTCCAAGACTGTGCCAGGAAAGATTGACCATTTTTACCTCAACGCTCTGTCTGTGGAGGGCCAAATTCACCAAGGAGTATGGGGGTGCTAGATAGTCTCTTTACCACCTGTCCCCAAACCATCACCTTCTGAAGGGAGAGTCCAGCTGAGATGCTAGGGGGAGCTTGTGTAAAGCTGGTGGGGGGAAGGGGGGGAGGAGGGGGACGGACAATTGCTGAGGTTACCATGGGAAGATGGTAGAGTCCACTTGCTAGCACTCTTTTTTTTCTAACCTCATACTCCAGGCTCACTCCCAGGATGAGGAAAGCACATTCTCCATCAAAGTTCTTTCTGGCTCCAACATAACCAGGGGCCCTTCCTTCTCTAAGGTCCCTAGTACTAGAGGCTGGACTTGTAGAAGGAAAATGGGAGGGAAGAAGTGCTGGCACGGTTGTGGAAGGAAAGTCTGCCTACCCTGTGAAATTTACCTTCTCTGCACCACCACTCACTGACATGTGAAGCACATTTCTGATTTTCCCAAAGTGGATGGAATCAGCTAAGCCACAAAAGGCAGATACTTCAAGTAGAAAAGTCTGTCAGCATAAATACTGCTTAAGATGCTTCTCCACCCCAAGTCTGTAGAGCATGAAAAGCCACTTGTATGGACAGGGGCCAATGCCCTGGCTAACCAGGAAGAAACAGTATCTAAACTTGCACATGTCCTTCCCTGGGCTCAGAATCCAAGGTGATCTAAGGATGGGTACATAGGAAGGTCATGACTACCCTCTAATACAAGCTCACTTTAGGGTCCCATCCACTTGCTCTCTCAGAGGTTATACAGAAAACACCAAGGGCCTAAGCTCAAAAATTCTTATAGGAGCCTGGCCTGGCCAAGTGAGCCCGGACAATTCATGCCCAGTACTGGTTTTCTCAGGAGGACTAAGCCATTGTGGTAACAGAAGATTCTTTTTTGCCTTATCAACTTCTGCTGAGGCCAATGGATGCCAAGACCATCAGCCTCTTGCAGGAGGGGAGTACAGGTCAAAAAGAAATCAACTCTGGCCAGACTCTGGGCATGAGAATCACCTACTTGATCTGAGGTTTCACTTCTCATACAGTAACTGTGCTGCCACCACCCATCCAAGTTTGTTCCTGAAACCCAGGCTAAAGGCTGTATCTCTGGCTTCAAGGTTAGTCTTGAAGTCTCAGTGGGCCTGAGTAATGGCTCAGAGAGCAGGAGAATGACCAGTACAGATCTCACTGCCTTATGTGAGGACCCTGCTCCTTGCTGGCAGCAGGGAAAGGATCCCTGGGAGACAGATGCTAATTCTACACCTTGGGCCACACATGGTGTCTGAGCTTGGTGAGCACTCATGACTACATTAGGTAGCCAAAAGAGAGCAACTTTCCATTCTCATGTGGACTGTATTTTATCTTTTATTTTAAGAGGCAATGACCTGGAGTCAAAGGCAGACAGATGGATACAATTCTATACACAAATCAAAAAGGGTTTTTTTTCCCTATAGCACAACTTAATGAAAAGTTCCAAATGAGATAACTTATTGCAACATTTCAGGCTTTTTGGTGGAAGGGGAATTTTTTTTTTGTTTTACCCTGAGTAGATCATTGTTTGTAGGTTTTTTGTTTTTGTTTTTTTGTTTTTTTTTCATCTTTTTGCTTACAAATCACATGACTAAGCTGAGCAAGTCACACCCTTCTTTGCACTGTACTACGCTTATGCAAAATCGCAGAGGTGAGAGGTGGAGATGGTAGGGAGCAACAAAAAGCCTGGCTAGAGAACCTGGAACCCTAAGACCTGCCTGCCAATCACCTGCCAATTCTTTCACACTTCCTTCAAACTGCAACTTCCCCTGAGAAAGCAAGATGCAGCTCTTCTTCTGTGAGGAGGAACACACTGTTGAAGCAGACCCCTAGTTAGTAACTGGCCACAAGCCATGTTTTCACTCTCAGACAAAGCAGGAGTGTTCGCCAGGAAAAATGCTGTGTGACCCACAAGCCCTTGGCAAGCAACTGAGAGACACAAAGAACCAGGAAGGCAAAGACTGAGGTGGTGCTGCTAGAGCCTGCTCTGCACACACATCATCAACAAATAGCAGTTGAAAGCTTGCCTACAGTCCTGGCACAACCGTCACTCACAGCCATGGGCCAGGCTTGAAGCCACCCATCTGTGCTGAGCCAGCTACAAGATGACCTCTGCAGCATCAACTTGGAATTCCACCAATGTCAAGTGCAAACAACAAAACCATCTCAGCCAACTCACAGCTGTCTCACCTGCCCTGCTATTGCTCACTATGATGCAAAAGTTGGACTTTCCAGACAAATATTAGCCTCAGAGTCAAAGACATATGGGGAAGAGCAATGCCCAACATAGCGAACTTCCTTCTGCCCAATCCAAAAAACCCCCAGTGCAAAGGATGGGCAGTACCAGAGTGATGGAAACCACATCCTTTCATTTAGTATTTTTATGCACACAAGTAACCTTAATTTCCAAGTTCACATAACAATAAGCAAAAGTGACATACAGTGCAGCCAAACAGTTCACTTATAACTTAGCTTTTTTTTTTTTCTCCTCCAAAAGATCAGGTCAGTAAAATGGGTACTCCTGGGATGTGAATAAAGAAAATACGTCTGAAAGGTGAGGCTTTCAAACAGCAGGCTTCTTCATCCTTCCAATTTCTGACCCCATGATAGCAGGCATCACGCTTCATGCGTCCTGTTCCCCCTTTTCCTGGAGGTGAGCATGACAGGCCCTTCCCCTGGAGAAGCTGCTGGCCAGGCCCATCTCCTCCATCCCCTACAGTAGTGCTTCAATGCAAATCAGATTGGACGGGTGTCCAGGTTCTGGAAGGACAGGAACTCTGACACATCCATGGCACTTAACATTTCTGTGTGAGGGATGGAAGGAGCCTCAGCCTGTTGGCTTTGCTCAATGGAAAAGGGTCCCATGGAGGTGGATGATGAAGGGGGAAGGGGCTGGAAAAGTCTAGGGTGGTAGTTGCAGGCTGGGCCCATCAGGAGGCTGGGAGTTCGGCTCTGGAGGGGGTGGGGAAGAACAGCCCTTTCTCCGACCAGATGCCCGCTCCTTCGCAGAGTCCCGGCATGCACACTGACACTGACATGCCTCCTCTTGTTTGATGATGATCACAGGAACACTGAGGCCAAACTGTTGAACAGAGCTCCCTGCGAGAGAGGTGAGACAGACTGCTCTTCAAGTTGCCATGACTAGATGCAGGCACACACAGACTAGGAAAGGGCTGAGTGCCATGGAGGCAGAAATGGTAAGCAGGATGGGTATCAGGCTCCAGGCCTTGTTCTGCTTTAAACAGGACTAGGGAAAGCCTCAGACACTCTCCATCCCTCAATACAAAGCCCTCTTTCCCTACAGAAACACATATACAATCCAGATGTACCCCATCCTTCTCAGCTTTACCTCCCTGCCAGACACGGCAGGCACCTCCCTTCTCTTGACTCTTTCATACCTCTTGGGCCCTTCTCTTTGCCTAAACCTCTAATAGTGTTTTCTTCTGGGCAACTTCCACTCACCTTCCATGACTCAGCTGACATCCTTCATACCATACCCCTTCTCCCAGGCAGAATTTCCTATGGGCTATGCAGAGGGTAGGCCATGAGAAGCCAACACTGAGCTGTCTGGCACACATGTACAATGCTGTTGCCTTCCTTCTGTACTTCTCCCACACTGATCAGGACCAGTTTAGACTTCAAGCTCCTTAGTACTTCAAGCTTCCTCAGTGTGCTACATGGTAAGTGTCAGCCAATCTCTTCTTATACAGCTAACCTAGCTTGTGCAGCGTTGTGGTTGGTTCATGTAATTCAACAGAGCTATGGACCAATGAACTCAACAGGGTGGTAAGGAGGCCTGAGATCTAGTGCTCTGGTGCTCACAAATGTTTACTTATGACCTTGGGGAGTCATTTAATCTTTTTTGGGTCCAAGATCAATCAATTGATCCATCCACTCATCCATTCATCTCTCAATCCATCCATTCATCCATCTATCCATGAGACCAATTATCTCTGAATAGTCTGGCCTGCAACCCTAGAGCTGAACTCTTGATCCTCCTGCTTCAGCTTCCTAAGGGCTGGGATCTTGGGTATGCACTGCTATACCCAGCTCTAGGTCCTAGTTTCTTAATATATAAAAGAAAAAGTTCAAAATAAAAATGCCTTCCAGCTATGCATGAGTTTCTGACCTAGATATTGTTTCTTCCTTACTGTAATTAGAAAAGAGTCTAGTCAATTAACAACTGCCCTCTTTAGCATTAACTGTGAATCAAACTTTCTTCTGGCTGCATATAAAAGCTGTATCTGAAAGGCAAAGAACTGTCACTAGGTTAAAAAAAAAAAAAAAGGAAAGAAAAATGGCATCTGCACCAGAAGCCATTACTATAATAAATGATACAATTTAAGTCTGAGAATGGGCAAAGCTTTATAAAACTTCAAAGCTGAGGCAAAGAAATAATTTACTATATCTCAAGGGGCCCAAGAAAATTAACTTGAATTTAAAACTAACATAAAATTACATACCTGTGCTACTGGCTACTGGTACTGCGGTGGTAAAATACACCTGTTCAACTTTAGATGCTTGTTGCTGGAGGAAAAAAAAAGTCACACTTATAGCCACTCCAATATGGAAGACATCCAGAGACCTGAAACCCCCAATTGTAATGGTCATCCAAGAGGATAGAAAACCCCTAGTGTTCGTGGTTTTTGCACTGAGTGATGTTTTGTTTGTGCTCTGCCATGAGGTCACTGCACTATTTGACATTCTGTGCTGACAATGTTCCTAGCTTTGTACCCCAGTACTTGGCTGTCTCCCAGCTGTCTAATTCAGTGGGCTATGTGTCCGAAGACTCCTCCAAGATTGCTTTCTTAAGCTGATGGTTTCCATAGAGGGAGCCCAGGGCTGGCTTTCCCTTGAGGCTGTCACCCCCATCCCATTCTGTTGTGAAAGTAGAAATTTCTTTCTTCCTCTTAGGGATTAGCCTGCACACTAAGAACAGCTAAGGCTGCTTCTCACAGGTAGTGTGCCCTAGGCAGTGCTGTCAGAGCTGAAAGGGATAGTTCTAGAATGAGCCTGGACTCAGCTACACCTGATTCAAGCCCAAGATCTGTCAATTTCTTTGTTTTTGTTTGTTTGTTTTTTGGGGGGGGCTGGTCATGGGGCCTGAACTCTGGGCCTGGGCGCTGTCCCTCAGCTCTTCAGCTCAAGGCTAGCGCTCTACCACTTGAGCCACAGCGCCACTTCCGGCTTTTTTCTTTTGGCTTAGGAATCGAACCCAGGGCCTCTGGCATGCAAGGTATGCACTCTACCACTGAGCTACCTTCCCAGCCCCAGATCTGTCAATTTCTTGAGTCGCAATTTCTTGTAAAAGTTGGAATGTTAACCAAAAATCTTTTCAAAAGACTCATGAAAAATGTCCAGTAACTATCAGTGATATATATACATATATATATATATATATTTATTTATTTTTGGCAGTCATGGAGCTTGAACTCTGGGCTTGAATGCTGTCCCTGCACTCTTCAGTGCAAGGCGAACACATTACCACTTGAGCCACAGTGCCACTTCCAGTTTTCTAGTGATTTATTGGAGACAAGAGTCTCATAGACTTTCCTGCCCAGGCTGGCTCTGAACCGTGATCCTCAGATCTCAGCCTCCTGAGTAGCTAGGATTCCAGGCATGAGCCCCTGACACCCAGCTGATTTGTATTGTTATTAAGGAGCAATATAAAATTGTGGCTACATCACATTTATCACTCTAGTACACTTCCTATTAAGTTGACTAACAGATTTCTGCTTTCTTTAAGTCATATTTTAAAAGGGCTTTTTTTCTTAGCCCTAGAAAGCAGTGTTCAAGCTGACTCTGGGAAGAAGTGAAGGCACCTAGCTAAAATAATAATAGATCTTGAGACAAAATAAGTAAAATAAATAAATAAAAATAAAAAATGCTGGGCACTGGTGGCACATGCCTGTAATCCTAGCTACTCAGGAGGTTGAGATCTGAGGATCGCAGTTCGAACCCAGCCCTGGCAGGAAAGTCTGTGAGACTCTTATCTCCAATAAATTACTCAGAACAAGCTGAAAGTGGTACTGTGGCTCAAGTGGTACAGTGCTACCTTTGAGCACAAAGAGGCTTGGGGACAGAACCCAGGCCCTGAGTTCAAGCCCCAGAACTGGCAAAAATAAAAATAAAATGATGGAGACTTGAGCCCTGGTGTTTGTTTTGTGCTGGTTCTGGGGCTTGAACTCAAGGCTAAGCACTGTCCCTTAGTTTTTTTCATTAAATGCTAGTGCTCTACCACTTGAATCACATCTCCACTTCTCACTTTTTGGAGGTTAACTGGAGGTAAGAGTCTAACTGACTTTTCTGCAGGGGTTGATTTCCAACCATGATTCTCAGATCTCAGCTTTCTGAGTAGCTAGGATTACATGCATAAGCCATTGGTGCTAGCTATTTTTGTTGTTTTGTTTTATTTTTGAAACAGTATTTGACGCTTGATTCTCCTGCCTCTGTCATACAAGTACTGGGAGTATAGGTGTACGCTACCACACCTGGCTGAATCCCATTTTTAAATACACAAAAATGAATTACATGGAAAAAGAATGACACTTGCTTTATGTACCTTCCCAGTGTTAGGCCCAGAAAAACAATAAAAACCACAGCCACATGGAAGCAGTTTATCACACACTGGACAGACCTTCTCAATAATCCTGGCCACTGACATGGAAATAGACTGCCATTTCTGGAATTTGAGTACTCTATTTAATACTATTTTTCCAGCTTGTTTACATCCATCCACAAATTTTCCTCCCTCATACCTCTTTTTCTTCATCTAATTCTACCCAAATCTCAAGACTCCTTTGATCTGTGTAACCACCCAGAAAGTCCCTTAGCGTCTGAACACTTCAACTGGCAGCACGATCAAATAACTAAGAGCCCAGACCCTGATGCAGTTTGTTTTTGCTTGAGTCCTAGCTTTGTCTGGTGTAAATTACCTGTTGTAATGTGTTAAAAAGTACTTAAGGGCTGGCTGAGTGGCTCAAGTGGTAGAACACCTGGCTAGTGAGTATGAGTTTAGACCTAAGTATCACCCCCCCCCAAAAAAAGCACTTAAAAGCTGGAGATGTAGTTTCAATGGTACAGTACTCTCCTAGCATTCAGAGTCCTGCTCTGAACCCCAAAGGGGAGGTGGAAGGGAACTGCTTAGTTAATGGAATGTATGGCACACAAATATAAACATAGAGACAGTAAAGAGATTAGTGGTTGCTAAGAATGAGGAGAAAGGGAGAGGGCTGCAAATGTGAAGCACAGGATAGAACTATTCTGGATACAAACATTATGCATTTCTGAAATCTAACAGAATGTACAGCACAAAGAAAAGACAGACCCTTCTAGGTCAGCCTGAGCTAGAGAGTAAGACCATGTCTCAAAAAATAAACAAAATGAACCTTAATGTAAATTATGGACTTTAATTAATAATAATAATGTATTAATTTTATCTGATGCAGAATATTAATAATCTGGGAGGGCTAGGAATGTAACTCAGTGGTGGAGCATACATGTTTTACGTGCTGGACTCTATCCTAAGCATCTAAGTAAAAAAATCTAAAAATTACAAAATTTACATCTACCCACAAATTTAAAAAATGTATATAAAGTAATGACTGGGGGCTGGGAAGTTGGCTCAGTGGTAGAGTGCTTGCCTCGCATGCATAAGGTCCTGGGTTCGATTCCTTAGCACCACATAAGCAGAAAAAAGCCAGAAGTGGTGCTGTGCTCACGTGGTAAGGCACTAGCCTTGAGCTGAAGAGCTGAGGGATAGTGCCCAACCCCAGAGTTCGGCCCCTACGACCAACAAAAAATAAAATAATGACTGGCATATGTTAGATCCTCAGTTTAAAAATTTGCCTAGAGGGGCTGGGAAAGTGGCTCAGTGGTAGAGTGCTTGCCTTGCATGCCTGAGGCCCTGGGTTCCATTCCCCAGCACCACATAAGCAATAAGAAAAAGCCGGAAGTGGCGCTATGGCTCAAGTGGTAGAGCACTAGCCTTGAGCTGAAGAGCTGAGGGACAGCGCCCAGGCCCAGAGTTCAGACCCCATGACTGGACCCAAAAAAAAAAAAAAAAAATTTGCCTACAGCCAAGCACCAGTAGCTCACACCTGTAATCCTAGCTACTTAGGAGAATGAGATCTGAGGACTGCAGTTTAAAGCAGCCCAGGCAGGAAAGTTCTGGAGACTCTTATCACAGAAACTAGAAGTGGCACTGCAGCTCAAGTGATCAAAGCCCAGGCCCAGAGTTCAAGCCCCATGACTGACCAAAAAATAAATAAATAAATAAATAGCCTAGTGAATATGGTAGCATATGCCTGTAAGTTCCTCAGAAGGCTGAGGTAAGATAACTTGAATCCAGAAGTTGAAACCAGACTATACAACACAACTGGAGACTCTTTCTTTGGGTGACACACAGAGAGAGAGACAGACAGACAAACAGATAGAGAGAGTGCAAGGTGGTACATGCCTATAATTTAATTTAAGGCCAGCTTGGGCCACATAGTAAATCTCAAAAAGAGAAAAAAGTTTACACTTTTTTCTACTTTTAGGCATGTTAGCCTCTTTAACCTGAATGCTTGAATGCCTTGATGGAAAAAAAAAAAACCCAAACACACATTTTTCACTTTTATCATTCAATTACCCAGGGTGGAGTCTGGTGAAGGGTGGGGCATTTCTAGAATCATCCTTAGAAAATGATTCTAGGGGAGCAGAGGCGTGGCTCAGTGGTATTACATCCCCAATACATGGAGATTAAAAAAAGAAGATTCTATGGTAGGTTCCAGGAGCAGAGTACTTCTCTGACTTGGCCACTACTATCTGATTCTGTCTCAATGGGTCTCATCAGTCCCTCATGTAGGCTGACTCTGATACGGGGATAAACGCTGTTTTGAAGTATCTTGGATGGACCTCTGAAGCTTTGACGACTTCCCTGTACTAGGTGATGTGATAACCCCACAGATAAGAATAGGCTTTCAAGCGCCTCTACTGCTAGGTAAAAAAGTAAAGGTGTTTTCCTGTCTCCTTATCAGAGGATTATAGTTTTCCTTGATTTTTTGTTTGTTTATTTTTGCTGGTCATGGGGCCTGAACTCTGGGCCTGGGCACTGTCCCTCAGATCTTCAGCTCAAGGCTAGTGCTCTACCACTTTGAGTCACAGTGCCACTTCCGGCTTTTTCTGCTTATGTGGTGCTGAGGAATTGAACCCAGGGCCTCATGCATGCAAATCAAGCACTCTACCACTGAGCCACCTTCCCAGCCCCCTTGATTTTTTTTTTAAATCACTTAATTATAGCAAAAATGACTCCATGGGAAAATTACATGTTTCTGGGTAAATAAGCTAGCCATTCTCCCATGTCCAATAAAGGACATGTCACCTGTGTAAGTACCCCTCTCCCCACTGGGTATGCATATAGTAATACTTACAATTTGTTCTTGGTTTTGTGGTGAACTAGTTGCACCATTTAATATCCATTGTAAATTCTGCTCTCTCATGACTAGGCTGGGCTGCAGAATGGCCGCGCTGGAATTCGGGGCGATGGTTATGGTGGTATTATTAGTTAAGACAGAGTTGGCACCCAGGGGCAGAGTCTGGACCATGGCTGGCAGGGGCTCAGTAGTACTTTGTTGGGGGGCTGGTGTTGCCACAGCTGATGCCACTGCTGCCGATGCAGAAGCCCCAGCAACAACAGAAAGTCCCGGTACGATGGGCTGGGGGGCCTGGGGGTGCGGAAGAAACTCCTGATGATTAGCAGCAAACTGTGTGCTGTGGGAAACAGGCACTTCTGGAGGTTGTAAGAGAGCAGGGGGGTTGCCAAATGCAGCTTTCTGAGAACCGGGTCCTAGGGAGGGAGCAGGCGGAGGAGCAGATGGAGCTGAGGCTGGTAGATGAGGCTGAGGTGGCTTGGAGATGCCAGGCTGCAGTATAAGCGGGAGAGATAAAGATGCTGAATTTCCTGCGGGTGGCGGAACATCACTGACTGACTCTGCATCACCATTAAAACTTTCAATCAAGGCAGCTGGCGAGAAAAAGAAATAGAAACATATATACATATCCCAAGCCTCATAGGACCCACAAAAACAGTTATGGGCTGAACAAAAGAGCTGACATCGTTACAAGCTGTTTCCTTCTCTGCTAGCAGGCTGGCTTTCTGCTTTCATTTAGTGACACCTCTGGTCAAAGTAGCAGGCTTCATGATCAACAGTGTTCCTATGTACCATGGCTTGCCAAAGACCAAGCCATAAAAACAATGTGTCCTACAGTTTTCCTGAAAAGAGATGAGGCATCCTTTCTTTGGTATGACTGGTGAATAACTGACTACTGTAAAGCTTTACTGACAGATTTCCACTCAAATGCAGGAGAGATAAACATCTGAAGCCTGGCTTGTGTGACACCCACTTCTGAACAGTGTATCCTATCAGAATGAAATGTTCACAGCTCCTTCCATTTTTGAAAGCCAATGAGATTCTGGAAAAACAGACCCTCTGCTTCTGGAGCTAAGGAACTGACTGGAAAGGTCTGTACTTTTCTCACCTTCCATGGAAGCTCTTCCTTTAAGCTAATTGAAATATCTCACTGTGTCAGTCATTCAGTGTATTCATAAATGTGAACTCCCTGCCCAGGGCTGGACAGGAAGCAAGAAGAGAGTTTGTAACAAACCTGTCTGCAGAGGATCTTCCTGAATTGCTGTATCATCTGAATTCTGAAACATTGATTCAAAGATGATTGCTGGTGAAATTGTGCTGAGGTCCTGGTCCTGGGTCTGATGGAGAAAGATAAAAGATGTGAGACCACCATTCTGAGCAAGTTCTTCATTACTGGAGAACTAGAATGAACTTCTGAATACACTTCCTGTTTCTGCCTTCATGTATTTCAAAGTGACATCTATTTCCCCAAAGCTTAGCTATACTAAAAATCTGGCTACTGAGGAATTAGCTGCTCAAGAGTTGCCTTGCAGGTTGAGCAAATAAAATTTTTTAATAAAGTTTATAGATAAAATAAAAAGTAAAATTTTATTTGAACAAAAACACAGTTACATGTTATTTACATTATGATGATTTATCAACTGTGCATTTAAGACCGATGCTCCGTTCTGCATGCACACTGTACTGTAATAAAAAAGGTTTGTGTATGTGTATGTGGTACTAGGGGGCAAATTAAGGGACTTGCACATATATTAGGCAAATGCCTATCACTTGTATCACACTCCCAACCCTTTTGTTTGCAGTACTGGAAATAACTCAGAGCTTACACTCTACCACTTGAGCCATACTTCTAGCTCCTTTTTTCATTGGGTATGTTTTTGTTTTGTATGTGTGTGGTGGTAAGCAGGGCTTGAATTCAGGGCCTTGCATATCATTTGGCTTTTTTTCCATCAGGGCTGGTGCTCTACCATTTGAGCCATGCCTCCAGTTCTGCATTATTTTTGAGGTAGGGTCTTATTTTATGCCCAGGCCAGTTTACATTGCAATCCTCTTATGTCACTGGATGCATACCACCTCATCCAGCCACTGATTGAGACGGAACCTCTTTTTGCCTAGGCTAGTTTCAAATCACAATCTCCTGTTTCCACCTTCCAAATATAACTAGAATTATAGTCCTGAGTCATTTCACCTAGCTCAATTTTGTTTTTGTGATAGGCTCTCATTAATTTTGGCTCCAAAAATCTCGATCCTCCTGCCTTTACTTTTGGGCAACTGAGATGATAGGTGTGTTGTGTTTTTTGAGACAAGGTCACACTATGGTAGCCCAGTTTGGCCTGGAACTTACTCTCTTGCCTTAGCCTCCTGAGTGTTTCAGTCACAGGTGTGCACTACCATACCTGGATGAAAAGTTGTTTTTTTTTTTTTTTTAATAACCTTTTTTTATTTTGGTCCGGTTGTGGGGCCTGAACTCTGGGCCTGGGCGCTGTCTTCAGCTCAAGGCTAGCACTCTACCACTTGAGCCACAGCACCACTTCCGGCTTTTTTCTTATGTGGTGCTGAGGAATCGAACAGGGCCTCTGGCATGCAAGGCAAGCGCTCTACCACTGAGCCACCTTCCCAGCCCCTGAAAAGTTTTTTTAATAAAATAAAATAAATAGGCAAGCGGTAAACCACTGCCAGGCTTCTGGACAAAATCGCTAGGGGCAGAATGAGTGGGAATGGCTCTAGAGACAGAACAGGCCGAGCCTCTAAGCCTCTGGGTCCTGGAGCAAAGAGCAAAGAGCAGCAAGAACACGGGAGTTGTCTGGGCCCAGGATGATCTCAGAGCTCAGCAACTGAAAGACAGCATGGACACTCCCTAACAACCCCCACCGATCCTTTCACTAAAGGCCTGAACCGACAAAAGCTCATTCTATATATTTGGAAGCTCAGATACCCATCAAATAATTATCTCATACAAATTTATCAATTGACTTAAATATGTGGCCATTTTTTAAAAAATCTGAAACACAAGTAAGAGGATCAAAACCTGGGGCCAGCAAGGGTATAAAATGAGACCAATGCAAAAAAAAAGGGGCTAGAGGTAGCTGGAGTTTTAGTGTGCCAGCCTTGAGTGAAAAAGAAGGGACAGAAATCAGGCCTGGAGTTCAATTCCCAGCTCTGGCATAAAATAAATAAATAAGTGTTAGGCAACAATGAATAACCCCTCCTAAAAGAACTCTTACTAGGAAGAGGAAAAGAAATCCTAAATGATCAGTGACTGAATACAGAGTGACAAATCTGACACTTCAGGCAAGCCTACCTCAATTTTCCCACCAAAAGGAATGCTCAATCTTGAATCTATTTTTTAGCACCTTCACTTCTAATATACTTACTGTACTGGAATTTTCTTGTAATTCAGAATCTGTGGACAGAAGACCCAACTCATTCAAATAAAGTGAGTGATTTGTATCCTGAGAAAGAGAAAAAAAAATCTTAAGTAGCAAAACCTAGGCTTTTATAGAATCATATTATATAATAAAATACTTGATTACAATGTCCTTAAGGGTGAAATGTCAGGTGACCAGTTGTGGACACTGTCCCTCAGTTCTTCAGCTCAAGGCTAGCGTTCTACCACTTCAGCCACAGCGTCACTTCTGGCTTTTTCTGCTTATGTGCTGCTGAGGAATCGAACCCAGGGCCTCATGCATGCAAGGCAAGAATTCTACCACTGAGCCACCTTCCCAGCCCCTGGTCCTAGGGCTTGAACACAGGGTCTGGACATTGTCCCTGAGCCTCTTTGTGCTCAAGGCTAGCGCTCTACAACTTAAGCCACAGTGTCACTTTCGGCTTTTTCTTAGTAATTTATTGGAAATAAGAGTCTCATGGACTTTTCTTCCCAGGCTGGCTTTGAACTGTGATCCTTAGACCTCAGCCTTTTGAGTAATAGTAGGAGGAGTTTAGATGTGAGCCACCGGTGCCTGCCATTTCTTGTTTTCTTGAGAGGCAGTACTGGGGCTTCAACTCAGGAGTTCACACTTGCTAGGCATCCATTCTACCACTTGAGCCACACCCATACCCCTTTTGTATTTCTTTCTTTTTTAAATAGGGCCTCACGTTTATGCTTGGGCCAGACTGGATCCTAAGCCTCCTATGCATGCTTCCTGCATAGTTGGAATGACTGAAAGCCACCATGCCAAGCTTTTTATTGGTTGAGACGGTATCTCTTGAACTTTTTCCCAGATTAGCCTAGTATATGATCCTTCAATCTCTACCTCCTTATTAATTAGCATTAGAGGTGTGAGCTACCACACTTGGAAGCTTCCATTTCTTTATCCAAGGATAGAGAACTTGTTTAGCATGAACAAGGCCTTGGGTTCAATTTCTGGTACCACACACACAAACACAAAAACAAAGAGTAGTTTCTTTATATATAAAATAGTAAGATAATAAAAGAACTCTGGATAGACATAATAGCTCAGGTTTACAATCCTATCTACGCAGGAGGCAGAGCAGGACTGTGGTTCCAGGCCTCTGTGGGCAAAAGTTCAAGAGACCCCATTCAGCCAACAAAAGCTGGACATGGTACCTCATGTCTATCACCTCAATGACAGAGAAAGCATATGTAGCGGACTTGTAATCTAGCCTGGCCTGGGCATAAATATGAGACTCTATCCAAAATATAACACAAAGAAATATATGTGATTCAAAAGGTAGAATGCCTGTCAAGCAAGAGCAATGTCCTGAGTTCAAACTCCAGTATCAAATAAATATAAACTTCAAAAAAAAATAGTTCTTGAAGACCACACCTCCACAAAAGTAAATAAATATAAGGTACCACAGTCCTTGGGTATTTACAGGTAAACAGTTCCAAGGAGACCGACTTTAAGAAAGCTCCACATGTGCAGGATACAGAGTTCAATGCTGTTCTGCAGGTGCTTGATTCATGTTTCCCACAATGCCACCTAACCTCTGCTAAAAACCTGCTGCCTTTCAACAAATCTCCAAGCTTCACTTTAAATTAAGCACACAAACTTTTTAACTTGCTTTGGGGGCACCACTTCTTTTGGGGAGGCAGATTTTCACAAGATTGAGGTAGGGAAACAGCTGACCATACATGATGTAAACACAACTGATGCTAACAAAGGAGAGTTGCTCTGCATCAACTGAGCTTCATAACACACATATGGTAATTTAAAAAACTTTGGTTTTGAAACTAATTTATTTTTTTGTTGGTGTTGGGGCTTGAATTCAGGGCCTGGGTACTTTCCCTAAAATCAAGGCTAGCACTCTATCAGTTGGAGCCACAGTACCACTTCTGGTTTTCTAGTGGTTAATTAGAGTCCCACAGACTTTCCTGCCTGGGCTAGCTTTGAACCATGGTTCTCAGATTTCAGCCTCCTGAGTAGCTGGGATTATAGGAGTAAGCCACTGGCAGCCAGCTTGTTTTAGAAATTTCTTTTGATTTTAAAAAGTGTGCTGGAAGTTGGCTCAGTGGTAGAGCGCTTGCCTTGCATACATGAGGCCCTGGGTTCGATTCCTCAGCACCACATAAGCAGAAAAAGCCGGAAGCGGTACTGTGGCTCAAGTGGTAGAGCGCTAGCTTTGAGCTGAAGAGCTGAGGGACAACCCCCAGGCCCAGAGTTCAGGCCCCACGACCGCCCCCCCCCAAAAAAAGTTATAAAAAGTGTATTATTATTATTATTATTACCATGTTTGGTCAAACTGTGTATGATAAACCCGCAAATAAGGTAAGCTTACTGTTTTCCCTTTCCAAGCATAAAAGACATAAGCCACTGCTTAATACCATGTTCAAGTGATAACAGCAAATTTATCTATCCTGGGTTCTCTCTGGAACAGAGCTGCAGGGGAGCAGAAAATATGGCAGAACAAACAAACTGCCCAAAACTACACAGGGGCTTTGTGTCCCAGTGGCTGTTACTTTATAGGCAGGAATGGGAAAATGAGAGCCATTCTAAGGCCTCTGAGTTCAAGAGCACCTTCTTCCACCACATCTGATGAAAGTAAGAGAGAAGAACTAAGGCAGAGCCTACAGTACAGGGAGTATGGTAACCTTCTTGGTTTCTGCTACCCAATTACAAAGACTCAGATTTTGACCCAGATTTCTTTCTTCTTGCTAACAGACAGAAGATATTTTAACTTTTTTTTGTAAGACACAAACAACTGCTGTTCTGTGGTAGCCAGATCAAAACAAGAGATGAGAACATTGCACACCTCTGATCCATTTTGTTGTGGAAGTGCATTGTAAGAATGTCCTTTGTTATCATGACCTTTCATGTGACTCTTGAGACTGTATTGAGTGCTGAATGTTCTCTCACAGCCGTTACTGGGACAGAAGAAGGGTCTTTCACCTGCAAGAATGATAAAGTCATGTTAGTGGATTGAGAAATCTACATTTCTATAAGAGAGGGAAGTAAATAATGTCATGAGGACTGGAGAAACAGTTATTAAATGATGGGATAAGCTGGGTGCCAGTGGCTCACACCTATAATCCTAGCTACTCATGAGGCTGAGATCGAGGAAGGTGGTTGGAAGCCACCCTGGGCAGGAAAGTCCATGAGACTTTTTTTTTTTTTTGGTCAGTTGTGGGTCTTAAACTCTGGGCCTGGGCGCTGTCCCTGTGCTCTTCAGCTCAAGGCTAGCACTCTACCACTTGTGCCACAGCATCATTTCCAGTTTTCTGGTGGTTAATTGGCTAGATAAAGAGTCTCATGTCTCATGGATGTTCCTGCCTGGATGTTCCTGCCTGGACTGGCTTTGAACTGCAATCCTCAGATCTCAGCCTCCTGAGTAGCTAGGATTACAGGCGTGAACCACTGGAACCAGGGCCCAGGAGACTCTTATCTCCAATTAACCACCAGAAAAGTGGAAGTGGAGCCTTGGCTCAACGTGGCTCAACAAGGAGAGCACTAGCCTTCAAGGAAAAAGTTCAGGGACAGTGCCCAGCCCTCATTTCAAGTCCCAGGACCAACCAAAAGGAAAAAAAAAAAAGTAAACAAGTTGGATAAACTACACTTTAATTATCACAGTTCTAAAACTTAATACAAAGTAAAACACTTGTTCCTTACGATTTATTTCCTGAGTCCCATCTTCGGATCCTTTCACCTCAGAAAGAAATTTAGGTGAAGGCTAAACTGATGAGGTGAAGGCTCACTCTCTCCCTAGTGCTAGGGAAACAGTCAATACTAGGCTGGATAAAGGTCAAAATGAGAGACTCACCAGTGTGTGTACGGACATGAGTTTTAAGATGGTGGCTTGCTGCAAATGCTTTTCCACAGCCATCGTGATCACATCTAAAGTGTATATGCAAAGAGAAACAGGACTTGTTAGCCAAGAGACCTTCAACCTTAACATTTGTAAATGCAAGCTAGAGCAAATGTTCCAAATACTAGGAGATAACAAGTGGGCCTTGAAAAAGAAAGATGGCTTATCTGGGCTAAGAAACTAAGGTAAGTATTTCTTATCCTATAGGTAAAGTACATGTTGAGACCTCTAATAAAAAATCCTTTTTATCTTCACTTAACCAGAACTCTATCATAGACAGTGAAAATTCATATGAAAAATCTTCTGAGAGTGACATATAGCAAATAGGGAGAACTGGGTGATGGTGGCACATGCCTGAGACAGGAGCAGTTTTGAAGTATGCAGGGAGCTTGACATACAACATGAAAACATACTGTACCTAATACATAGCCATGTAACAAAGTAGCCAATGACTAGTGATGTACAGAGGGGTTACAGTTACATTAGTCAGGTTAATGAGTACATTTCTTTTTGAACAGTGTCACCTCTTCCCTCTTTTTCTCCCAGTTTTTCCCTTCCCAATCCCCTTCACCCACAAGTTGTATAGTTCATTTTCAATATAGTCTCTAATGAATATTACTGCTTCATTAGCTCACCCTGTCCAACCATTTCTGTATTCCCTCTTACCCACCCCAAAACAGATAAACTTATATACAAAACAAAAAGTACAGAAGTCAAAAACAGAGACAAAGGGAAAACAAAAACAAAAACAAACATACGCAAAAAGTAAACTAACCAAAAAACCCTTGTTTCCATTTCTTGGAGTTCATTTTGATAAATATCATTTTATAGGATCATAGGCACATAGCTATTGAGTCTTTGTGATCCTCCCCTAAGAATATGCTCCCTTTGGTCTCACCGTGTGAATGTTTAGAGTCCTGTTTGATTTTTCATGCCCAATTATAATTTTTTGTCTTTTATCATCCATTGTGTTTACTTGTAGATTTGTAGATACATTCTATTTACTAGAAATGAGAAACCATGCAACCTATGCTTCTTTGGGTCTGGCTTACTTCACTTAATATAATTTTTTTCTAAGACTCTCCATGTTCTTATAAATAGGACAATACTATTCTTTTTGATGGAAACATAGAATTCTATTGCATATATATATATGACCTTTTCTTGATCCATTCATCCACTGAGGGACATTTGGGTTGATTCTATATCTTGGCTATTGTAAACAATGCTTCAATGAGCATGATTGTGCTCATAGCTTTAGTGTGGCCTGGTTTGGGATTCATTGGATAAATGCCCAGGAGGGGAATTGCTAGGTCATAGGGATGCTCTATGGTTAGTCTTTTGAGGAACCTCCATACTGCTTTCCAGAATGGTTGAACAAGTTTACATTCCCACCAACAGTGTAGGAGTGTTCTCTTTTGGTCACATCCCTGCCAGCATCTGTTATTGTTAGTTTTCTTGATAATAGTCATTCTAACTGTAGAATCTCAATGTTGTTTTGATTTGCTTTCTTTTATGGCCAAAGATGATGAACTTTTTTTTCATGTGTCTACTTTTCAACCTTGCTTCTTTTTCTGAGAAGTCTCTCTTAAATTTTTAGCCCTTTATTAATTTTGAGGATTTGTGAAAATGGCAATACTGCCCAAAGCTATCTACAAATTCAATACAATACTCATCAAAATCCCAACAACATACTTCAATGATATAGAGGAAGCAATTCAAAAATTCATATGGAATAATAGAAGACACTATATAGCAAAAACAATCCTTAGCAGGAAGAACAGTGCTGGAGAAACATCAATACCAAACTTCAAACTCTATTACAAAGCCATAGTAATAAAAACAGCTTGGTATTGGCACAAGAACAGACCTGAGCAGCAATGGAATAGAATAGAAGACCCAGAAATGACCCATAGACCTAAAAACACCTAATATTCCATAAGGAAGCCAAAAACACTGGATGAAAGAAAGATAGCCTCTTCAACAAATGGTGTGGCACTGGCTATACACATGCAGAAATCTAAAGCTAGATCCTTATATATCACCCCGTATCTGAATCAATTCCAAATGGATCAAAGACCTCAATGTAAGGCTAGATACCCTGAAAATATTATAGGAAAGAATAGGGGAAACACTAGGACTCCTAGTCATGAGTTGAAACTTCCTAAATTAAGATCCAGAATCACAACAAATCAAAGAAAGACTGGATAAATAGGACTGCATCAACTGAAGAATTTCTGCTTGGCAAAGGACATAACTAGCAAGAAAAATAACCCACAGAATGGGAGAAGAGCTTTACTAGCTATGCATCAGACAAGGGCCTAATATCAAAAAATTAAATCCCCCAAAAGGAAATTCTGTCTTTTCTTTAGAGTATTAAAGTTTGAATTCATGCTTGCTAGGCATGTACCAAATTTGAGCGCCCAGGCCCAGAGTTCAAGCCCCATGACCAACAACAATTGAAAGAGCCGGTCGCTGGTGGCTCACGCCTATAATCCTAGCTACTCAGGAGGCTGAGATCTGAGGATCGCAGTTCAAAGCCAGCCCAGGCAGGGCAGGAAAGTGTGTGAGACTCTTATCTCCAATAAACCACTAGAAAATTGGAAGTGGCACTGTCGCTCAAGTGGTAGAGTGTTTGCCTTGAGCTGAAGAGTGCAGGGACAGCGCCCAAGCCCAGAGTTCAAGCCCCACAACCGACCAAAAAAAAAAAACAAAAAGAAAGCAAGCAAGAAAGAAAGAAAGACAGGAAGGTAGGAAGAAAGGAAGGGAGGAAGCGATAGCGGTAGGGAAAGAGACAAATACAAAGACAGAGTCTTGGTGGATGTTACAAAGAAGGAAGGAAGAAAGAAAATGATCAAATTTATAGGCCAGGAGCCAGTGGCTCATGCTTGTAATCCTAGCTACTAAGGAGGCTGAGATCTGAGGATCAGGGTTCAAAGCCAGCCCAGGCTAGCTGTTTGCCTTTTCAGTTATTTTTCTGATAGGGTTTCCTACTTTTTGCTCTGGCTGACCTTGAATGGCAAGATCCTCCTTATTTACATCTCCCACAAGGCTGCAGTTACAGACCTGGATCACCATACTTGGTTGGCTTGTTGAAATGGAATCTTGCTAACTTTTTGCTATACTGACTGTCAACCACCATCCTTCCAATCTCAGCTTCCTATAGCTAGGATTATAGGCACTCACCCCCATGCTGGGTCCTCTCCTTTACTTTCTTGATAACCAAGGCTAGAAGTAATCTTTCCGTCTTTAGAACTACTAAGGCATTTATCTACATGCTTTTTTCAAGCATCTCTTACTTCTTATTTCTTTCTGTGTACATTTCCCATCTGTTCTGCTAAACTGTGATGTCACTGAAGGCAGGATTCATGTAGCCCTTCACATGTAATTGAATTCTCTACATGGTAAACATCCAATAATTACATATATGAGCAAATGCATTTTCTTATAAATCAAAATATTTCTTTAAATAGAAAACTCTAAAACATTCTAATTTTAAATGATCTATAATAATCACTATATCTAAAGTCCTATCTAATATTTAAGAAAAATAGCAGTTTTAATCATTTAAAAAATAAATGCATATGCCTAAGTAGAAATGAGAGTCCAAGCAAGGTGCTCATGGCTCACATCTGTAATCCTACTCAGAAGGCTGATATCTAGAAAGAGAATTGTGGTTTTAGGCAAGCTCAGATTAAAAATTTCTCTAGGTTTTATCTTCAGGAAAACCTAGGATGGCCAGGCACCAGTAGCTCATGCCTGTAATCCTAGCTACTCAGGAGGCTGAGTACTGAGGATTGTGGTTCGAAACCAGCCAGGGCTTCAAAATTAAGTCCGTAAGACTCTTATCTACAATTAACTAATAAAAAGCCAGAAATGGAGCGGTGGCTCAAGTGGTAGAGTGCTAGCCTTGAGCAAAAACAGATCAGGGAATGCACCAAGGCACAGAGTTCAAGCCTCAGGACCAGCACATAAACCAATAAACAACTATATGCTAGGTGGAGAAATGATTTAAGTGATTGAGTTGCCAGTCTAGCAAATACAAAATTAGAATCCCCTCAGCAGTTTACAGAGGGAAAATACACTAAGCCTCACAGCAGCAGCTGTAACAAACTAAAACTAATCATTCTTGCCTTTAAAAGGATCAAGACTCAAAAATGCAAAATTTAAGAATTCAAAAATTTAAGAATTCAATTCCATTTAATTGGTGTCTAAGACCTGTCTCTGGAGACAATTTTGTGTGTGTGTGCTGGTCCTGGGGCTTAAACTCAGGTTTTTTAGTTGCTCAGTTGCTCAAAGCTATCACTATACCACTTGGGCCAAAACTCTACTTTCAGCTTTCTGGTGTTTAACTGGAGATAAGAGTAACCATTGGAAAAAAAAAAAAAGAGTAACCATTGACAGTCAATATTCAAGCCACTGTGGGCATCTCACAGTCTTAGACACTATGTACTAACTTGTGGTTCAAAGGAGAGCTTTCTTCTTCATATTTCCCTGATACTCATAAAAGTACCTATCATCCCACATGAGAGTCAACAAATACTTTCTAAAAATATAGTGGAAGGATGAGGCAGTAAGGTGCCATCCACAGAGTGGGTGCTCCTGGAACCATCCATAATCCTCTAATGTGTAGCAGTTGGCTCCCGCTATCCTGGGGCAAGCCAACACTGCCAGAGAATGAACAAGTATAGGGAGCTTTCCTTTTCTACTTGCAAACTTCTCAGAGTTACCAAGATACCCTGCTGATACCTGTTCATTGACAAGAGAACAGTAAGACCTACCGAAATGGCTTTTCTCCTGTGTGGGTTCGAACGTGCTTCCTCAGATCACTGAGTGTGGTGAAGTATTTGCTGCAGCCTTGAGATTCACAGTTAAACGTTTTCCCTGTGTGAAGCCTTTGATGTGCTTTCAACCTGCAAAACATCCCAGAGAAATGCCCTATGGTATAATGTACTACAGAACCTCCTGTGCAGCCTAATATACTGCAGGATCAAGTACTTATGAATCCCATACCTAGGGTATATTAGTATCCACTAAAAAGAGGTTGAGAGAAAAAAACAGTGCAATAGTGAAAACTCACTGGCTGGGCTTCAAACCTCCACCCTACATCTTACTGGATTAAGTCTGCTACAGAAGTGCTTCTACTTACCTAACCACTTAAGACTTGAGCCCAGCATTCTGTGTGCTTTCAAAGTATTAGCTACTGTTATTACTGTTTTGTCTAGCTAATATTGGAGACTAGTGTAAGTCTCCTGATACAAACAGAGGAAGGAGAAATAGTCATCCATACACAACTTTCCATTTCTCAGGACAGAAAGAAATTATCTTCAGGGTAAGGAGGAAAAAAAAATTACAGAAGCTTTAGAATGAAGATCCTGTTCCAAGGGGACCAGTTCCTCTACACTAGCTAAAATTCCAAGGCCAGAATGTCACTCCATGAGCTCTAAAATCTAAACAGAGATGAACTATCACTACTCAGCCTAAAGCATTTCCACTACTAGATGTCCAATAGAGAAGCACAACGGTGAATTATCTCTCCTGCTGAAGGAAACAGCTGGCAGCCACAGGTTAGAGCAGGGTCAGAAGCTGGTGAAGCCATGGAGGAAAGGCCGACCTGTACAGTGTGTTGAATGCCTTTTCACAGCCCTGCACATCGCACTCAAATGGCTTCTCCTTCGTGTGCACTCGCACATGGATCCTGAGGCTGTAGGAGGTGAGGAAGGCCTTGCCACAGCCTTCTTGATTACAGACAAAGGTGTATTCTCCTCGGTGAGTCTTCTGGTGGGTACGCAGGTTACCTGCTGTGCTGTAGGTACGGGGGCAGCCCTCGAAGGTGCACTGGTACCGCTTCACCTGGCAGACAGAAGATACCTCATCAATGGGGCAAAATGACTGCCCACACTTACCTCCTTCTGAATTCAGCTGCCAGGAAATGTTGGAGAAAATACAAATGGGTTTCCATCATAAACACAGAAAACCACCTCCAAGGGCATGGGAGAAACCTTCTTGTTGTTCAAAGCACACATAGACAATGCATAGTGAGTATTTGAAGTGACAGTGATTTTACACACTGCTGTCCATCTATCCTTTGACATATAATTATGTGTTTTCATATGAAATCTTCACATTGTTTTAAGGTGTGATTTAAATTTTTTTCCCTCTAGAACTCCACCTTGATTAGAATTGACCAATGTTAAAGATATTTGCTGACCAATGTTATACTGAGTCTAAAGCATCCTGAAATTGATATAACTAATCAACAGACAGTATTCAGGATTTCTCTGAATAGTTGCCACTGCTTATTTTCAAATCCTCAAAAGAAATGAAAATGCATCATGAATTCTTGGAATATCTGAAGGTGTGTAGCATTTTTCAGATCATCAGCCTGATGCTCTCAGTACAGAGGCTTGAACTCAAGGCCTCCTGCTTTCACTCAGCTGTTGCTCTACCACTTGAGCCACTCCTCCAGCCTGGGTTTTTGCTGGTTAGTTAAAAATAAAGTCTTTGAAACTCAATCCTCTAGGTCTCAGCCTCCTGAATAGTTAGAATTATACTTGTGAGCTACAGGAACCTGGCTCACTACGAACTTCTTGACATGGAAGGAAATGGCAGGTCTACATGCAAGCCTCCATCTCCCTCAATGTCCATGTGCTCCTAGGCAAGCTGGCTGCACTGTGTGAAACTATTCTTTTGAACTGCCTGGTACTCAGCCTCTTTTACCCACCCATAATGTCCTTGATTATCTGCAAATATATCCACTGATATGCCAGTGCTTTGTCCTGAAAATTCATACTTCTCAACACAGCAGTGCCACAGGACTGTCTCTTCTGAGAGGCTACTCTCTTCTCTCCTAACCTCTAAATAGAGGTGTCTAAAATTTGCCTCTTGAACAAGGCATTTAAATTTTCTGAGCTCCAGGTTCATTTCTCAAATGCAAGTATAAATACCTTTCCTGCCTATCTCACAGTGGTTTTAAACAGACAAAATGAGAAAATTCTTGTAAAAGTACTGTAAATTATTTGACCATAGATAGATAGGACCCATACACACACACACATATATATACACACACATATGCTAGTATTATTGTCTAGCTTTAAACAACAACAACTTTGTATGCACAAATCTTGGGGCTTTTTTAAAGTAATTTTTAAGAAATAGTCTTCCCGTCCAGCACCAGTGGCTCACACCTTTAATCCTAGCTACTCAGGAGGCTGAGGTCTGAGGATCAGGTTCAAAGCTAGCCTGGGAAGGAAAGTCCGTAAGACTATTATCTCCAATTAACCACCAGAAAACCGAAAGTGGCACTATGGCTCAATATAGTAGAACCTGCCTTGAGCAAAAGAGCCCAAGCCCTAAGTTTAAGCCTTACAACCACCACCACCACCAACAAAAAGGGGTGGTGGCGGTTGCCTCCCTAACATAGCTCAAGGACTCAATCCTCCTGCCTCAGTCTTCTTCCTAAGTATTGGGTCTGTGCCACCACTCCCCACTGGTATGTACAAGTCCTAATCTTTCTCCAAGGCAGCAATCCGTGTCTCCAGCTTTATGTACTATAGTACACTAATGCTATTCACTTAACAGCTACTGAAATACTATGCCCTAGACAACAAATTCAGTATCATGGAGAAAAGACAAAAATCTCTGAGCCTACAAACACACACATACACAGTACTTTGGGAATATAAAAGGAACTTTAATGATGTGACTGTAAAAGGGGGATGAAGAGCGGTTAATGGGCAGGGCAGATATGTGAATATTCTAAAACTAATATATGTAATGAAAATGGCATAATAAAACCCACCAACAATTATTTAAAAGAAGGGAGAAGAGGGGCTGGGCAGCTGGTTTAGTGGTAGAGCGCTTGCCTTGCATGCGTGAGGCCCTGGGTTCAATTCCTCAGCACCACATAAGCAAAAAGAAAAAAGCCAGAAGTGGTGCTGTGGCTCAGGTGGTAGAGCGCTAGCCTTGAGCTGAAGAGCTGAGGGACAGTGCCCAGGCCCAGAGTTCAGGCCCCATGACCGGACCCAAAAAAAAACACAAAGAAGGGAGAAGGGAGTAGAGGGGCTAAAAGTTATCTAGATGGGGCAAATTTGATCAAACTACTTTATATGGATATTATAAACATCACAGTGAAGGTTTTTTTGTACAGTTAGATTTAAGTTCATAAGTGTTCTTCAATGATCTTCTAACCCCTCCTAAAATGGAATCAATGAAAACCCAGAGACAAAAGATGTTTCTGACTCAAATTTGTTTTGGGGAGGGGGGTTGGGCATGGGACTTGAACTAAGCCTGGGTGCTATCCCTCAGATCTTCAGCTCAAGGCTACCACACTACCTCTTGAGCCACAACGCTACTTCCAGTTTTCTGAGGGGTTTATTGGAGATAAGAGACTCACAGAGTTTCTTGCCCGGGCTGGCTTTGAACCGTGATCCTCAGATCTCAGCCTCCTGAGTAGCTAGGAAAGGCCTGAGCCACCAGTGCCTGGCTCTGACTCGAATATTTTTTAACTCTCTTGTTTTTAGATGAGCTAACAAGGTATTTTTCAGATAATCCAGTAGAGAAAGGCCCTGAAAGAGGGAATAAGCATGAGGACAACTGCGCATGTAGGTATCGTTATCCACAAAAAATGGCACTATGTGAGAGATTGGATGGAGTAAGAAAAACAAAAAGCTGGACATGATGGCAAATGCCTGTAATCCTGGCACTTGGGAAACAGAGAGGAGGATGGAGAGTTTGAGGTCAGCTCAAAGGGAGTATTGTGATAGCTGGGCGTCACGCCTATAACCCTAGCTACTTAAGAGGCTGAGATCTGAAGATCATGGTTCAAAGCCAGCCTGGGCACGAAGATCTGTGAGACTCTGATCACCAATTAACCACCAGAAAACCGAAGTGGTGTTGTGTCTCAAGTGGCAGAGTGCTAGCCTTAGCTGAAGAGCTCAGGGACAGCTTCCAGGCCCAGCATTCAAGCCCCATGACCGCCAAAAAGAGGGGGGGGGGAGAAAGAAAGGAAGGAAGGAAGGAAGGAAGGAAGGAAGGAAAACAACGAACAAGCAGCTGATAGATTTGGCCAATGAGCCAGTCTCTACCAAAATCTGTAGGAGTGAAAGAGAGAGAGGCCCAGACTCCGCCTAGCTCCTCTACCCTCTCTCTCTTTCACTTGTCTAACACTCAATCTAACCTTGCACAACTCTTCAGGTTTCTGAGGTACCTATTCACTGCTTGCCTTTCCCACTGCCACACAGGTATACTAGTAAGTCACAAAACTGAATTCTTCATCCTTTAATCTCAGGTCTCAGGGCCTAGTTTTAAAGTCAGGCTAGGGTTCTAAAGCAGCCCAAGACTGAGATGCAGTTTAGTGGACAAGCACTTGCCTAGCAAGCAGTATACCCTGGGTTCCATACCCAGTACCAAAAGCAGAAAAGAAATATATATATATATATAATAAAACAATGCTCCACACATATCATCTCTGCTCAAATGATCCAGTTCCAATTCCTTAGCCTGATATTAAATGACATAACTTTTTTGCCCTATTACTAAGTAACAAGCCAGTAGAAGGCTATGTCTAGGCCTAAAGGCAACAACATAATTTTCCCCAATTGCAATTCTAATTACTACTTCCTAGACTTTTCTCTCTCCTCTGCCTTGACTGGAAATGCCCAGATGCTTTATTTGCTTTTCTTAGTTTCCCTGTCTTTCTATAATCGTTCTATGTCGACAGGATAGTGTCCTTCCCTAAATGACAATAACCACTCATTTGACACTTAGCTTATATTGGTAATTTTCCTCTCTGCATACATCCTGACTTCCCAACAAGACTAAAAGCCATTTCCAAGCTGCCAAGTAGAGATTTCAAAATAACCACTGATCAGTCAGGAAGAGTGACTGTACATGTAGCAATAAAGGAGATATGTCCCAATCATAAAGCTTATGGCAATGATGAGTGATAACAGTAGATTTCATTCTTTTGTTTGTTTTATTGGTCTTGGCTAACCTAGAATTTGTTCTGAGACTGGTCTCAAACCTGTGATCCTCATACCTCAACTTCCTAAGAGCTGGAATTACAGATGTGCATGACCATACTACCTTAGAAGTTCATTCCTAAAATGCTACAGCAGTTGGTAATTGCTTAGTAGGTAAATAATTGCAACAAATAATTATCTTTCTTGCCTCTCTGCCCTGCTCTATCTGAGTTTATGTACTTGGCCAAATCAAACTCCTGTTACGTGTTCTTGTCTTAAGGGCTAGTATGCAACTAGTACTTATTCCCACTCCAAACTAGAATAGGCATCCTTATTATAGGATCTCATGACTTCTGTACTCTCTATCTGGGGCTTCTGTAGGCAGAGATTCAGCTAACTATGCATCAAAATATTAGAAAAACTGTCTGAGCTATGTATAGAACTTCTCCCCATTATTTTCCAAATAATACAGTACAACAACTCTAGTGCTTACACTGTATTAGGTAAATGAAAAATATAAAGATGATTTAAAGTATATAGGAAAAGGTACATAGGTTGTATGAAAACACTACTCTTTTAGAGCAATAAGGGAAAGAAAAAATTAAACAGATTCAAATAGGGGAAGAAGAAGTCAAATAATCCCTATTTGCAGATGATATGACCCTATGCCTAACAGAGTCTATGGACTCTACCAAAAATTTCTACATCTGATAAATGCCTTCAGAAATGTAGCAGGATATAAAATAATCACTTAAAAAATCATCAGTCTTAGCTGGGCACCAGTGGCTCATGCCTGTAATCCTAGCTACTCAGGAGGCTGAGATATGAGGATCATGGTTCAAAGCAGCCCAAGCTTTCAGAAAGTCTGTGAGACTTTACCCACTGGAA